ATGGTGAATAAGTTCCGGAGTAATTATTTGAATATGTCTTTGCTTAGTATTTCTATAGTTTCTTTAAGTAAAATTTGCTGGAAAAAACCCGCAATAATTATGCATCAACTTAATATATAGAGGCAGGTAAAATGCAGGGGAAATAGAAAATATCGAAATAATCGTGAAGAAATCGCCAGGAAATCATGTGTGCTTTCACTAGATCCCCTAATGAACGATCGCTGGATTACTGAGATCGCGGAATGACTGTGCCACCTTCCAATCTTTCTCGAAGTAGTAAAGCCTAATTTTGCGAGTATGCGGATGGTGTTTCGAGTATGTTCTTGTGGAGGAAATCAAGTAGATCATTTCTAGAAAAAAGCCGAACTTAATATTCAAATTCTATCAGGAGAAAAAAAGCCGTGAAAAAATCCGCAATAATTATACATCAACCTAATAGTCTGCGAAATCCAGGTGAATCCGCCCTCATATATAGACAACGCTCAGAGAGGCTATCAGCAGTTGAAAACGATCAAATTGAAATGTTAATAGGAACGAATCAGCACATCACTATTCCCAAAAGATTCGAAATAAACCATCCGAGACCATTTGCTGGAATTTGGTTTTTTTGAGCGCCTTGATGTTTGGGTATCTAACGGACTAGACGAGCGTGATGTGATGGACTGCGCCTTCGTGTGCGACTCGTTGCTCAAATGGAGAAAATGAGCTATTTCTAAAACAGATGAATAAGGGAGACGGAATGTGGGTCGTGTATAACAACGCGGAATGTAAACGATCGTGAAGTCTTGCCAGTGAGCCGTCAGAAACTACTTTGAAAGTCAAAACTCAGGTGCGAAAGATCCTGGTGTGTTGCAGGTGGGATTGAAAGGGAAGCATTTATTATGAGCTGTTGCCGCACAATGAAACGATACCATCGAAAATGCACTGTACTCTGCCAGACGGTTCGTAGCAGCGATAAATCAGAAGCACCCGAAACTGGCCAATCATAAGTGCGTTGTCTTCCAACAGGATAACCCTAGAGCCCGCGTATTTTTGGCCACTCGTCACAAATTGCTGTAGCTTTGGTGGGATTTCTTACCGCACCTTCCGTATAGTCCAAACATAGCACATCGAACTACTCCTTGTTTAGTTTTCTGCAGAACTCTTTGATGGAAAATCGCTCAATCTGCTGGAGGACTGCAATAAGCACCCACGGGGCTTTTTCGATTTTAAGTCTAGAACCTTCTATGAAAGTGGGATCGTGAAACATATACGAAGATGGCGAACCATTACTGAACAGGATGGACAATATATTGTTCGATGAATGGATTAGTTCCTCTAGAAATTTTCACTCGAAAATGACCCAAAAATCAGCGGAGACTTTCCGGACAACCCAATATTTTACGAATGCATTGGACGGACCACTGGGGTAGCTACACTGATAACGTCGCTCCGATGGCCTACAAGAACTCCTGAACAAGCTGCAGGGTTGGCAGGAACCTTTGGCGGAGAATGACTGACTGATTGTGGGAAAGACCAAAATCTTCAGCTTGGAGGACTGGGTGGGGCCAGTCGCAGATCGCTTTGGGAAGCCTTCGAAAGTGCAGGACATCCAGTAGATGGGTAGCGATCCATCTGCAGTCAGTAGCAGAGATCATACTGCGAGGGCTCGGACAAACGCGGCATGGATTACGTGGAGTCCGCTGATGCCTTGTATGAAAGAATGTGCTCCGAGACACCAGAAGAAAAAATGTAGCGAACCTTGAAGGGGTAAAAACCATGGGAGACAGCTTGACTTCGCTAAACTGGGGATGCTCAGGTGGGTTTGCAGGTAGACACAACTGGTCCGGATCCGAAACGAAGACGTTTGAGTGGCAATGCGAATAGCCTCTGTCCAGCTGAGATGAAAGAGCAACATCTGCGAATGTACGGTCACGTAATTCGATAAGAAAGGCAATGGAATTCGATGGTCAAGGGAAACGACCATGATGAATCCCAGAGAAGAGATGTTGGGACCAAGAGGGATCTCACCGAAAGTGAAATGACGGCAGAAAGTGGAGTAGACAGCGTCAAGAATGGATGGCTGACAAGAATAGTGAAACCTGCGGTGGTGGTGATATTACTCTGATAGCGTGTGGATCAGGGATGCCGAGGCCATGTGAGCACGGTAAATGGATCTTGAATCCCCGCCTAAGACATTGAAAGGTGGGGGAATTAGTCTCTCTCTGGATTTTTTCTTTTGGTTATTACCTGGTTAAAGTGTTTTACATAAGCTCTGTTCCGATCGTGTGACAGGAAAATTATCAACACGGTTCTAAAATAACTGCCCTTCAATGTACTCGCTGGTCGTACTTAGCGTTCTTTACTGCATACAGTATCCGCTTACCGTTGAAACGTTCCCTACGTACAAGGTGCCTTGTCGAGATGTGAAAAAATTAGACCATTCCTTTTTAAAGGCACCGTTCACATAATTTTGGGTAGTCCAAATTATGATGAAAACGAAAGACAAGATCGAACTAGTGCGATTGAGGTGAAGAAACTGCGTGCATCGGTGTTTCCATAGTGAAAAAAGGCTCGAAAAAAACGAAAAAAGGGGGCTGGACGTGAATGAAACCAGAAAAATGAAGAAGGGTCGGGCGTCCGGATGAGCTAAATAGTGTGTTTCACTGCGCGCGTGTGGGTCCTAGTGCGAAGAACAGACAATGTTCAGCAAAAATTCATCCACTTATAAGCATAAATAAACAAAAAAACCCTAGTAACAGCAAAAGTAGCTCACCTTTTTCAGCCTCTAGGAGTAGGAAATTAAATAAGGGATCGCGGCAGCAAAAAGAAAAACAGAGGAAAGAAGAATGGGAGAAAAACATCGCCTCATCATTCGGCGATTAGCTGTTTGTGCATGGGTCCTAGAACGAATAATAGCAATCTGTATTGTCTCGACACTCGTCTAACGTGACACCGATCGAGGAGCGGAAACGCGAACGACGGCAACAACGGGGCTGCCACTATGCCCTGGACGTCGAGATTGGGGGAGTGAGAGGGTCCCTTCTACTACCCATGGGAGCCGCTAAGTATTAATAAGGTAAGAACTCAATAACTTTTCTATCGTGAACGGTGCCTTTAAAGTGAATGGACAGATGCCTGGAGGCGTACATACATCCTGGCATTGTGATCTCCAAAAGAAGTCTCCAAAGAGATGGAATTCACTCGGAAAAAAGCCTGTGCGGCTCCAGTGAAACGGTTTGAACCACAGTCCAATGGCTGCGAGGTCTTCTGTGGTTGAGTAGATAAGCACGGTGCTCGGAAACCTGATCTTGTTTTCGAACCTCGCAAAAATAGCTAGATACTGTCCTCATACACATCATCGCGATTCTGCACTCTCGCACATAGTTGATAGTTTTGCTGATAGACTTGACTAAACTGTGGGACCATCCAACCCAAGAAAGAGATCAGAAGTTGACGCGATTATCATTTATTAAATACTGGAAGTTAGCTAGCTTTCGGCCTTTCTTTCGATGCAGAAGTAGAATACTGAGCATACCTCACTGATTTTCGAGTCTCCAACTTCTCTGATTTGAGTGTGAGGAATGTGCAACGTTTCAATTCCCATCGCTTTTGCTATATTCATCCCCCTAGCCTCTGATTTGTTTGAAATCACGATCCTCACCTGAAATTATGATCATACGTAGAAAAGCATTGCCATAAACAAAGTGCAGGAGAGTTACTTCTGTTCTGATAATATGGTTCTGGTAAACGAACCTCACAATGACTGAATGGCTTTCTCGAACTTTCGATAAGTTTCACCATATTACTTCCATTGCCCGAGATTAGTATTCCGACCTGTGAAGAAGAAAATGTTTTCCGCGAAACAATTGAACAGCGCCATGCTCGACTTTCAATGAACCTCGGCATAGCTCCAATAAAACTTTATTTTATTGAACAAATCACGAGCTCAGACATAACAAATATGTCAGCTAACGTTCCGGCGATTTTCGCCTTCTTCGGAGCCTGAAAAAGTTGTAAACCAGTCTATGATTTA